TATGCACCGGCGTTTACAAGCCGTTATTAAGGCCAAAGACGGGCCTATAAAATATTAACAATTAAATTACATTGAATAGACCATTAAAGTCAAAGTCATTACGCGCCAATTCTACTTATTACATTTAATTGGCTGCACTGAAAATGGTTTTCAAAATAAAAGAGAGAGAGAGAGAGAGAGGCCACCCAAACACATAGTAACGGCGCTGGAGCAAATGCTGATAACAGTAAACGATACAATTTAGAATTTGTCTTTACTGGTTTCTCTTGTTTACAAAAATGTTCCTTTTGTGTCCCCCATCATAAAGAGAAAAGCGTGTTGCCACTTACATATTATCTTCAATGATGACGACGTCCATACAACAAATCAAAATAACAAGAGAATAAATTCCGTTGTTCTCTTCTTTACAGCAGAGAGAATGCCTGCCATCGTCTTTGTTTTCGCCACAACCTCAACATATTTGTTTTTACGCCCGAATTACATATTTATGTAAAAGTTAAATATTGCTTCTTTTTGTGTATTTAAACACTTGCACTTTGAGGATCTTTTAAACTGTTTTTCAGTTCACATCGTTTTTTATGTTGGTACCGAATTTTCGCGATATTTCTGAGCTGAGCTGGCAGGTAGACTACTGGCGCTTGATAAAGTTACACTCTTGTAAATTAATTCCAGTCCTCTCTCCTTCAACTCAAAGGTTTAACTGACCTTGAAAACAGTGCTCTTAACTGCAATTTGAACTGAGTACATCCAAGAGTTTAACAAAATAAAGAGTTTTCTTAACTTGTTTGATGCTGCTTAGCTTTAATTTGTATATAGTAATTTTTAATCTAAGAAAAGGTTTCTTGTTTTTTAAATTTGTCTAAGGCAAGAAAGGACTTTTGCTTGCCCCCTGAATTTAACATTTTTCAATGTCCACTTAATTAGTCGCCGTCATGTCACGTATGCGTCACGATTACACAAATAAAAGACTTTGTGGTTCGTTTGCTGCTTTTGTATGCTAATCATATTTTTTCAAGCTAGTTGCTCTTGGACAGAAACAGTAACATATAACAAACAAATTTTTTTACATTTCAAACAGCCAATTTAAGCAAAGTTGAAGTACACATTCAGGCTTATTTATGTATGTACACAGAGATAAGCAATGATGTAACTAAATCGCGTGGCAAAAATGAAACCGAATCCACTAACTTGGTTAAAATAAATTTGTTCAATCTTGAATAGTACAATTTATTTTTAGAAAAATGACTTCGGAATTAAAGTGCAAACGCAAGTCATTCATGGAAGTAACTGAATTTTGAGAGCCTAAGAGCAGCCGAGCGTTAGATTTCATTATTTTAAATCAAGATCAAAATTCTTATAGTAATCTTTTAGAGTTAACTTAAGCGTAATTTCAGTAAGAATCGAGAAGAAGTAAAGTACGTTTACACTAAATTTAAGACCGTAATGGAGAGTAAGAAAGTATTAAGAATACAAAATATGTCTAATGTTAAGGATAAAGACTAGCAAATTAGACATTTTGCTTGTCTGTGAAAAAAGAGACATTGGCGAGTGAAAAAGGTTGACAAATAAATCATTAATATTGGAAACTACAGAGATGTGTAAGTTTGTGACTCCCAGAGGGAAGAATATTGGACCATATGTCAAAGGTATAAAGCAGACTCGTATGTATAGAATCAATATAATGATACTCGATGGTGTAGAAATGTGAGCCAATTTGCTCATCCTTTCAAATCGAGGCAGCTCGATGCACGTGGACTTGACTTATCCATGCTTAAATATTAAGCTTGCAACTATCAGATAGATCTGAGAATCTCAAACCCGGTATTCTATATAAATCAGAAGAATATTAATCATACTTGTTGCTTTAAAAATTGTTGAAAGTTTACTGAATGTTTGTTTTGGCCTTTTAAAGTTATTTCTTTGAGTTTGCGAGAAGTAATTATTATAAAACAAATATAATGAAATTCGAAACACTACACAAAAATTATTCAATATTTTGTGAAATACAAGTATATCTTAGCTGATCTTAAACACTTTTTAAGACGCTATCAGTTAAATAATGTGAACACTTACTGAACAGAAACGAACTATTGACGATCTATTGAGCTATTCCACTACATTTGCTTGTATTTTCACTAAGTTGAGGTCCTTTTAAGTTCCTTTTAAGTTCGTGCCATAATATTTTCCGTGCAGTTGCCATAAAAAGTGCTCGCAGTACTCTGATTTACGCAGTCAGTTCTGCATCTGCTTTATGGCTTGTTTTCTTCATTTAAATGCAATTTCAATGTACTGGCAATAGATTTTTAATAGTGGCCCACACACACACACATATATATATATATATATATATATATAAACGAACACACATTCGTGCTTGGCTTCTGTTGACAGTCGAAAACATTTATGCGATTTTGTCGTTAGACGCACACAGCAAATAAAAGTTTATGAAACAATATGAAAAATGTTATTTGTGCTTATGTGGATGATGGCTGGCAGTCTGGCAGACAGAGGAACATCAAGCTGAGCAAATTTGTTAGCAGTTGTCAAAATGAATTAATGTTTAACTGGAAAATTGCATGAGCTGCTCTGCGCCTCCGTTTCCGCATCCGCTTCCGCTTTCTTCCAACATCGACAGTTTAAGCATCGCTCGAGCTGGCTGCTAGGCAGGCAGGCAGGCAGGCCACAAAACGAAGCTTGTACATTTTTAAAACCAAAGTAATTTGCTGGCCAATATGGCTCAGAAATATAGCTCTGTTCGCCACACATAGAGACAAGGAGAACAACAAAAATAATTACAACAACAACCACTACCGTAGGTAATAAAGTGCCAAATAAATGCAATAAAGCTGTTGAACAAGAGCTGCGCTTATGTTTCTTCCGGCTTTTATTACAAAACACACTCGAAAACAGCAAATAAAAATCCAAATAAATAAAAATAAAACTGCCAAACAATTGAAAATTTAACAATGAGCCATATAGCCATAGCCAGAGCTCTATATGCAAGAGCTTAAGTGCTTACTGCCGGCCATGGCGATGCACTGTCGATGTTTTCCTTCTGAAACGATGCTCAAGAAAACTGCAAAACAACTCAATTTCAATGCTTGAGGACCAAAAGGATGGAACGAGTGTGGGCAACACAGGATTACAAGCAAATTGCAAACGTCTTTGCATGTCGAGCACAAACACAAACACCCAGACACCCATACACCCATACACACCCACACCCACATCCACACACACATGCGCGTGCAACAGCAAACTAATTTGATTGTCGAGCACATTCGTGTGAAGCTTTGAATGCTTTGCCCATTCTAAGGCCCACTTTTGGCGCCCAACTTGGGGCTGCTTATGGTAATCGAGCATTCGTTTGTTTGCCTGAAAATTTTAACAGCAAAACTGTTTAAGTTCTTCAACATCTTAAGTGGCTGGCTAGCTCGTTAAAAACGCAGGTGAGAGAACTGAGAAAATTCAACATTCCAAATTGAAGGCTTTACTTTAAAATAAATACGAGTACTACAACAGATAAGCTGCGGTTAGGCAGTCCGTTCAGATAATACTGATGGTCACACAAAGGCCAGTTTACTTCTAGTTAGGCTTTCATCATAATTAATGTGACTTCTCGTTGGTTTTCAAAATTCAGAAGAGATGAAGTCCCCAAATAATTGGTTCAAGGACTATTTGCTGTAAAAACAAATTTTAAGAGTCAAACATAGCTGAGACATGTAGCTTAGTCATTTTACTGAAGACAGCTTTTAATTGTGCATCTAAGATAGAAAAAAGAAAACAAGTCTTTCTGTTCATCCGTCTATCCGTATAAAAAAGATAATCTTGAAAAGCTAGCAGCAAGAGCTGATTCTTTTTCTGGGTTAGGGCTGGTAATCCTCCTCCTATTGGATCAATGTAATACATAGAATAATCCAATCACCTACACTTACTCCGACAGACAGTTGGAACTCAAAGCAACAAGCATAGTATTTTCATTCCGCTAAGTATAAAAAATGAAAGATAATCCATAAAAACTAAAAGGTAATAAAAATAAAGTTTATGGTTTTTAATTGAAGAATACGATTGATAATTATTTTAAAAATAGATTTATTATATTACTACCATAATATACAAAGTTTTTCACATTCTTAAAGCGTCATTTAAGTCAAAATGGATTGCACGAGAGTATTTTATTCAAGTTGTATAGTAAGTTTAAATAAATTTAATTATTTTAAATTATTCCCAGCACTTGCCCGCTTACACATAATAAAAGGAGAGATTTGGAAGTGCAATACGAAGTATTTAAATGCCAAAGCAGAAGAGCACTTACAAGTACATTCAAAAATAGTAGAATATTATGAGTTAATGCCATTTTCTATCAAATACCATTAAATAGACTAGCGTTGGGGTAGAACATTTGATTTTCGTGTCAATTTAAGGCAAAGACTACACTTTATATTTGCTTCGATGTGTTCGTTACATTCCATAAACTGTCTCTGCATAAACATAAACTGCCCCTTTCAGCTTATATTCTGTATTCAAAGCTGAAGAAGAAAACTCTTGCTTTCAATATTAATTAACCTGGCGGCGGACTACCCTTCAGGAATTACCCAGAAACAACTCCACATGGGATACAGCCAAGACAAGAAAGTTCTTGTAGTAGCCCCAAGCTCCCAAGTGGAGCAATTAAATAAAATTAAATTGGACTAAAAACACATTTTCTATAACTCTTCATGTCTGGCTCCTCAAATAACTTTTGCACTTAGTAGATGCATTTATTTTGCTCCTAAAGATTGCTAAGAAGTATGCGCTAATTGGCCGAGAAATGATAAGCTCGTCAACTGTTACCAATCTGAAACAAACTTATCGAAGTACTTCGCAGTACTGCCAACTTGTTACAACAGAGACATAAACAGTTGACAGCTCTGTTGAAAAAAAGATAAAAACAAAGCAACCGTATTGGCTATCGAACTAAATAAGAGTTTCTCTGCTCAGTCAGTTTGTCGAGTCGGACAGGGTGTTAACGTAATATCAAAGAATTGGTTTTTTTTTGGCTTTCAACAAAATGCCTTTAATTCAACGTAGCCTCTTTTCGGATCGCTACAATGGGAAACACGAGCGTTTCTACGACCGCTACGATGGTAAGTAAATATGGATTACGGTCTTTTCTTTCCTTGCGCTCATGTACTATTGATGCAGAAGTATTCCGGCGTATACCCAACATGCCCCCAATGCCGCGTCCAGCTGCCCACACCACCAATGGCCATTCGGCCAAGTCCAGTGGCAGCAGCGATAAGGCCAATAACAAGGTTGTCTTTCATTATGGGACCGATAGGCTCGGCAGCAACACGGACTGGCGTGCCGGGGACGACATACCCATTGTGGTGCGCCGCGAAATGGAGGAGGAATACAATATTCAATTGATGCCGCATGCTACAAATACGGGCGGAGAGTTCAGCCACACCATCTGGGAGATTGAGCACACGGCCGAGCAGGATCTGAGCATTGCCAAAGGCAAGAAGCCCAAGACTGTCATCCTAGAGAAGAAAATGGACAACATCAAGGTGCTGGCCAAGGGCAGCTCTAAGCCGATCGACATCAAAATGGAGACCGACTTGGATATCTGCATGGATGATGAAATTAATTCTGCCCCACCACAGCCGCCAATCAAGATGGAGATCGACCCGCCATTGGCCGAATTGCACGCCAAGGTCTTTGAGCCGCCAGAGCCGATCAAGAAAGCAGATCGCCGTCGTACCAAACAGCCCGGTGAGATGTTTGAGTGCAAGGAGTGCATCAAGAAATTTGAGCACTCCTGGATGCTCGTCGCCCACCAGCGCGTCCACACTGGTGAGAAGCCCTTCGTCTGTCCCGAGCAGACCTGCCAGAAGTCCTTTGCTGATCGGTGGGTCCTTGACTACGCCCTTATTCCACCTGCAATTCAATTCATCAATAACACCTGCCCACAGCTCCAATTTGCGTTCGCATCAGCGCACCATGGGCCACCACAGCTGGGACCATCAGTGTGGCCAGTGCGGCAAATACTTCAGCCAGGAGTGCTACCTAAATCGCCATACTCTCGATGCTTGTCGCAAGTACTTGCTATCCAATATGCATAAGAAGTATTAGAAGTCGGTTCTATAAGACTCTTGCTGCTGGTTGTAAACCTTTTTTATAGGCTTTTTTTGAATGGCCCTTAATTCCACTCCACCTCACGATAGGATTTGATTTCAACTAGAATTCCAAGATATTCAGACAGTTCACAATATTTGTAAAACATTTTTTGAACTCGCTTTTAAATAGGTAGGCTCTATCATAAATATTTCGTATTTATTATAAAATATTAAAGTATAGGTACACCGCAATCTAAATAAACATTCTGCAATACATCATATTTAAACATATATATAAATCATCGAATAAATCCGCGAGTATTTATTTTGGTTCTAAATCTTAAAGGATCGTATTTGTTTAAAAAACTTCTTGTTTTTTATAAACTGCATCCAAATGGCATATTAGAAAGCTTTTTTATGTCATGTGTTTTAAAACCGAATCATTTAGTATCAGATACCATTTAATTTGGAGGACCTTAGCTCTCAACTGCATAGAATACGGTAAAATATGTACTTAGGCTTGGTTGAATTACATTTGTTGACAAATGACTTAGTCTTAAAAGTTCGGCCCCATTGAAACACGATCTTTACAGATATAAATAGATCTATTCAGTTAAAATTTCCTTTATTTCACAACAAACAAAACTTATTTCTGAGCAATTTTAATCCAAAATCTATAATATTTACACAAAACTCTCATAAAATCTTCATCGGCCTGAAGGCCTTAGTTGCTCTGATAACAAACTAATATTGCAATTAAGTAGTAGAATAGATAGTTGGTTTATGGTTCTGAAGGTGAAACAGTTATCTATAAGATTTATGGTCAGACTTTTCTGATTTTCAATGAACAGCTTTTATTTATTTATATGTTGTAAGGGGAATAACAAGTTCCTAATGTATGCCCTCATTATTGAAAAACGGATGAGCTTTGGAGATTGTCAATAGTAGATTGTTGTGGAATCTTTTCAGGATGTAACATAAGATATCCCAGAAGTTGATCTAAGATATTCAGACTGGCTTGAGCATTCTCTTAGATAGACCTATTCAGTTAAAATTTCCTTTATTTCACAACAACAAAACTTATTTCTGAGCAATTTTAATCCAAAATCTATAATATTTACACAAAACTCTCATAAAATCTTCACCAGCCTGAAGACCTTAGTTGCTCTGATAACAAACTAATATTGCAATTAAGTAGTAGAATAGATAGTTGATTTATGGTTCTGAAGGTGGAACAGTTATCTATAAGATTTATGGTCAGACTTTTCTGATTTTCAAAGAACAGCTTTTATTTATTTATATGTTGTAAGGGGAATAACAAGTTCCTAATGTATGCCCTCATTATTGAAAAACGGATGAGCTTTGTAGATTGTCAATAGTACATTGTTGTGGAATCTTTTCAGGATGTAACATAAGATATCCCAGAACTTGATCTGAGATTTCCAGACTGGCTTGAGCATTCTCTTCTAAAGTACAAGCTCTTTTTGAAGTTTTTTGTCAAGTTTTCTATCCAAAAGCTAGTATATCTTTCTTAGCTCTATCGTTAAGCTACAACATGCAGCAGTCTTCTTAATTTCATTACTTCCTCCACGGGAATGGAAGCATAATTTAGACTAACTTATTTAATGGGAAATATTGTATGAGGGGAGTTTTCTGCATTGACCATAGCGGCTAGTTGCTGAAAGTATTTAGGTGCTCTTGAAGCAATTCTGAGGCAAGTTTATTATAAATCTTGCTGATGTGGCAACGCGCTTTGTTGGCAACAGCAGAAGCCAATAGCTGTTAGCGACTTCTGTTAACTAACAGAACGCTGCAGACATGAGCATCTCACTCTTCCCATGTTAGTTCCGCGCTAAGTCAACGCGTTCAAAAAAGTACAATTAGTTTTAAGTGCGAAGTGAAATATAGCAGATGAACTGAAAACCACAAAAAAGTGTAATTGCGCTAAAAAGAGGGCGCAATTTTAGAATCTCCAATCAACACAAGCATCCCAGTACATTTTCATGGTCCGTCCAGCCGCGTAGTGCTCGGCTCCTCATCGATTCCTCATATGCCTTTTGTCTTGAATATATGGATATAAGTTAGGTTTGTTGTTGTTGTAGTAACATTGGTAGCTTATTAGATTAATGGGTTCTAATTCAACCTTGTTCAATTTTAACTTTAATTTTATTATCCTTAAGTTTTTCTTGGTTATTACATTATACATATGTATTTATAAACATATGTATCTTAAATATCAAATTTGTATTTGATTTTTATTTTTACCTATCTTGTGTCCAAGAAGAATAGCCTGATTATCCATTGCTTTAGCTGAAACAAATCGTAGTTTTCTTTTTTTTTTAATCTGTAGTCTTTACTTAAGATCTGTCCCTAGGAGGGCAATTATTACATTTGATTTTGCAGAATTTTCAGTCTGCATAAGTTTCTGTGTTGCTTAATAATGAAGAACGAAATTTGACTAATGAAACAAGTATGCTGGAATACCACAAAGGCTATGATCAGACACGCAAAGAATTTGCACTCAAAATGAAGTTATTTTACGAGTAGGCTTTGAAAGGTAAAACCTGAAATGGGTTTCTGTAACAGAAAACTACATTATACTCGAAGTAAAAGAATACAGTTCTTTTTGTGGACTTTGACAAATTTGCATGCTAACTATTTGCATGTCTGACCACACTTAGATAAATATAATATTATCATCCAGTACAACAAAGATTGCTTAATTATTCTAAACTTGAGCGAATTTGTATAAGAATTATTTTTCTTTCTGAACGTAGTTTTAGAAATACTTTCATAAGATTTACTCGTGCATTTTGTACCCTTCGGTTGCTTATTTGTAGATCTAACTTTGCTTCACATGAAAGGGTTCATGTTCTAATTACAATCATTTTTCACACAACATATCCTTCGAACACTCCATTAAGACTATTTTATCATTAATATACTTGCTACCTGATTCTGACAGTCTCTAATCCTATATTACTCTACTACTTGTTGAATTTTATTTTAAGTACTATTTAAAATATTTTATTCTTTTGTATATTTACTTTTTTTCTTTTCTTTCTATTATTATTATTACTTTACATTTATATTGTTCTTCTTGCAAAGTTAGCAGTTTTTTGTAAACTATAAATATATCTGAAGGCCTAGAGAAAATACTAATATATTTACTGAGAGCATCTTAAGTCCAGTCCAAATATTTTATTCTTTTGTATATTTATAAGTACTTTTTTTCTTTTCTTTCTATTATTATTATTACTTTACATTTATATTGTTCTTCTTGCAAAGTTAGCAGTTTTTTGTAAACTATAAATATATCGGAAGGCCTAGAGAAAATACTAATATATTTACTGAGAGCATCTTAAGTGCAGTCCAATCTGCCACTCTGCTGGCCCTGACCACAGTGGCAAACTTTCGAGTGCCCTGCAGTCTGAAAACGCCTGACCCATGCAACCAAATAGCCTCATTAGCAAACAGGACAAGCAGGCAAGTTAGTCGAGAGAGCAGCAGCCTTCACCGGAAATGGCCAAAGTTCAAATTGTTTCGAGTAAATCAAATAAAAGTGAGCGCTGTGCGAGAACTTTTGGGCAATTAATGTGCCCAGTCAGACGCGTTAAGTTTTTGCCCCCTCATGTGTGGTTAACAATGCGGCCGCAATGTAAACGCAATGCAACGCAACGCAACACCAATTCCGAAAGCCGTGGTGGCTATGGCCAAGACAGAGGCCAACAAGTACGGCCGAGGCAACAGCTGCACGGCCAAAATCAACGGTCGAAATGCAAACAGTTCAATGCGCAGGCGATTGTTTGGGGGTTAGGATTGGGGTTGGGTATTGGTATTGGGGATGGTCATGGCTAATACGTTAATTTATGGTCGTAAGATAAACAAAGGCGAAACATTTGGCACGCTCAAATGATTTAAAGGCGCCGGCCGAACTTGAAGCTCTGAAGTAAAACGTGCAGGCGCCAGAAAGTGTTCACTAAAATGCAATTACTTAAATGCCACGGCAGAGGACAATGCGGTGGCCCGCAATTGGCAAAGTGACCAAATATTTCATGAACGACACGGCGTCACATAATAAAATTGTAAGACACAAAATTTTATTGAGCGTGCTCTAAAGTTTTTGGCGCTCTCCTTTATTGAACTGTCCGAAAAGGGGGGCGCCCCCAATTGGTGCTGACAAGCTTGGTAGCCAGGCAGCTAAGTGAATTTTTACGCCAACCAAAAAAAAAAAGCGCAAGGCACGCGTCTGGTCATAAAATAACACAAAGACGACCAACAAGGGGACGACAAGGACTCGATGGCTCGGTGAGTGGCTGTAGTGCCTGGCATGGCTGCAACGTATCTTTAAACTAATTTTCCAACTGGGAGCATTTTCGAGCGGCGTTTAACGTGCTGGCCACCACTTGGTCTTAGTTGAGGCCGTAAATTATTTTAGCGTTTCAATTTGTTGGCCACAAGTTTTCAGTTCAAAGGAGAGCGAGCAAGCGTGCAAGTAAAATGAATTGAAGCTTCCCCTATACGAGTACTACGCTGATAAAACTATTTCATGCAATTTAATTGGAGTTGGGCATTCAGTTGTCGCCTTTTATTATGATCATTTATCTGTTCGTAGTTCTACAAGTGGAATTTAAAAAATCTTATTTCACTAAAAAGAGAACAGTAACTACTAGTACTTATTTTATTTTGTTTAATCAAACTCACTACACTCATTGTTTATTTTGATATGATTTAAAAAATGTGTCCTTTTTGAAGCAAAGATTAATGCTCAACTGGTTTTTCGCAGAATTCAGGGAAAGTTCAGTATATACTAGCTTATTCTATCAGTTATTATTTAATAAAGAGAACATTTATAAAAGAATAGTTAGCTGTATTAGAATACAAATCACTCATTTATTGAAAGACTTTCGAAGCTCAAAAAAGTGATTCTTCAGAAGACGCGATTTTTTTTAAATGGCTCTATTTTCTCACTCGAAGATATTTAAGTTACAACCGGCATTTTATAAAATGATCATCTGACCGCAACTCTTCTGCCAGAATAACGCCAACAAAGCGTTGTGCACCAGGGCTGCCATTTTAGCTTATTACCCCGCCAGATCTGGCTTTATTTAAATGCCACTGCGGGAAAAATTCGAAAGTAGCATGTTGCGGGAATTCTTAGCCTTTTTTAGCTTTACTTTATTTTTCGCC